TTTGGAAGTGCCCCATCCAAATCGCCCCTAATTGTTTCTCCCACGCAAACGAGAATCGAAATTTAGAAACTTAGTTGGAGAATGCAGTATCCTTAAGCTAGTCTTAATTAACATTTTCAATTAAAAATGCATAGTTTCCAATGGGTTGGTGACAAGTGCTTGTATCTCAAAATTCACACTCAAACGAGTTGTTGGCAACAAGACTTGAATCTCAAGCAACTAAAGCTTTTACCCTGCACTCGAAGTCCTAGGCTCAATTTCCTCCCCCCTAACATCGCCGGTATAAAAAAATTGAAGAAAAAACAAGAGTTGTTGAGTTGAAATCCTGATGCAAGATGCCCCATTTCTAAGTTGAAGCTAGGGTTTCATAGCCAGTCACTTTCAGGCTTTCACATTCTGTCAATCCTTTATTTAATGGTAGGTGCAAGAAGATTTGAAAGATGAATAACCACAACTGAAAGGAACTGCCATTGTTTTATCAGAAAGAGATTTGCCTGAATCAGCTTGATTAGGGCATCCTATCTGCTTTCTGCACTCTGACAATAACCCACCATCTTCTTCCCACCTCTTCACTCATCCCTCATATTCTTGTCCACTTTCAATGTTTGTTGACTTCGCCATTGTTTTTCTACTTTCTTCCTACCAAATGGAGAAATGCAAGCAATTTATGCTTAATTTAGTTGGAAAATGCATCCAGGTCCATGCTAATTGATGCTTAGGATGCAGACCTTGTTTAGACTTTAGCGAAACCAACGTGAGAGTAGGGCTTTTGACTAAGATATGTTGTAATTCACTTGAAGGCTTATTAACTGAATGGATAGCTTCCTGAAATTGCCATTTAGTCTCAATTTACTTCTCGAAACCAGTTTTGTTGTACTTTGCCCCCTAAAGCTGTCATTTTCAACTTTTTTGGTCTCATTTCACCCCCTACTCCGTTAAAGAAACATTAAATTCAAGGGTATTTTGGACATTTCACTTTTTACAACAGCTCTTTGTCTTGCCTCCATCCAGCCCTTTAGTTCAGTTGACTGATCTTCTTTGTGAAACAAATTAGGGTTTATGAAAGAAGATAAAGGAATTTAATGATTTATTAGACTTGAATTTAATGATTTATTAGGCTTGAATTTAATGTTTCTTTAACGAAATTGGGTGAAATGAGACCAAACGAGTAGAAACAGGCAGTTTTATGGGCAAAGTGAGACAAAACCAGTTTCAGAGTGTAAATTGAGACTAAATGGCAGTTTCATGAGGTAATTCAACTAATAAGCCTTCACTTTTATTTGCTCTAATTTACATATATAGGGATTTGAACTTGAGTGCAAGATGACGAATATAATATCCTAACCAACATGAGACTAGAAGTCTTCCTCCACACGCCTTCTACTAGGTTAACATCTTCTGCCAATAGGAGCTGTCCTTGCATTTAGGATGGATACCTTCCTTTCAAAGTGTGATAAAATCATTGATTTAAAGGTAGTTTACTTGCTTAATGCTTGCGCTAAGGACTTATAAATAGAATTTACCTTGGGATGACCTTATCTTCTCCATTTCTTGGTACAGCCTCTCTCTTTTCTTCACTTGCCGTGTAGCACTAAGTTACTTATGAATGTATGCATGCAATCCGGGAGTACTTTGGGGTGAACACCCATCCGAACAAGTAGGGTCAAAAGAAAATTAATTATTAACTAGCTTGTGGATTATTTGTAGTTGCTTTCTAAATATTTGAAGATGCCGAAACTCATGAAACTCTCCTCCTATTTATAATATTGATCCCTATTATATTAAGAGAACTCTCATTATTAAAAAGACGATTTGGTCATCTATTCATGATTCAATAAAATTATCATAAATAGACAATTAGATTTAAACCCAATTCCTTAAGCAAGTTTGCCTCTTATATTTATGTTGGAATCTTTCTCTTTATAATTTATTAGATTTAATTTAGAATGTGACTCAAATAAAAAAAAAAGCAATTTTAAAAAGTTGAGATTACAATGTTGGTTAGTTAATTAAACGAGGATCATGTGCAAAAACACTGCTCGTAGCCAACTAATTGGTGTGATTAAAAATTGCCATCACACCTTTCCCCAAGTAGAAGACAAATCCCACCCCTCTTAAAATGATTAACAAAATAAACTACCTGATTTGACCGCAAATACCAATGGGTTTCACATGCCTCTTAAATATCTAAGACTTAATCTACCAGTTTAAAGTGATTACATTTTAAAAAATTAAATATATTTATTATTTCTAGCTTGGTAAATCGGATCGCAATAGTAAATCAACAATGTGTTTTACAATTTCGATACATAGTTGTGACAAAGATGATATACAGATATACGTTTAGAATGAGTTCGATATCTAATTATGGTATTTTGTAGTCGTAATGTGAGTAAATTGTTGAAATCTTTATAAAAAAAAAAATAAAAAAAAATTTATCAGATAAGAGTTGGTTAATGCTAATCTGAACATTAGAAAAGTTATTACAATAATAGAGTATCGATTACTTTTCTCTTGTTCAATGATGGCGATGGTTTGATCATCTTGATATTAAGGTTTTTTTAGTTAAAATGATTTTCGAAATTGGTATAACTCTTCACTTTAATCCTTGAAATTTAAAATTGATAGAGCTCGTCTTTGAGTTTATTTACCATTAATCATTTTGATCGTTCCGCGAAAAATCACAGTTAAATAAGGAAAAATGACAAAAATAATCTCATTTTTTGTCAAATCATTTTGGCTCATTGCCTATTAAATTGAGTGTATTTTTGTGATTCTGATCCTTATTTAACAAAGATTTTTCAAGAAATGACTAACAGGATTGAATTGTGGACAACTCGGAAACCAGTTTTATTGATTTCAAACATCACGAACCAAAGTGAGAAGTTATGACAATCTCAGAGATCATTTTAGTTAAAAAGTCAGCTATTAATATACAACACAATTAGTAATAACTTTTCCTTTAAAACAAAATTAAAATAATTATGATTATGTAATAGATTAAGATGATTATATTATTTTGGACGAGAGATTAATAATGATTTTAGGGTCTCATTATTTTATCATGTTTACATAGATGCCTAATCTTGGGCATGTGTCGCGTGGTGTCTCTGTCGGCGGCGAAAGAGCATTGTATTTTCTTGTGTAATGGGTCACCAATATTTACGGCGTGGCGGTAGTTTCTCGTGCGGGAGTGCGCGTGTTTGCCGAATCATTGGTACCAGTTGACACCGGGGGACTTTGGAACAACCGAACAGCCAATGCCTGTTGGTCCAAATAGGAGAAAAGATTCAAATGCTGGACTTTGAGTGTGATGATAAACGTTCTTAACAATTGATTTACAAACCTATTGCTTCTCACTATGAGATTTAGATCATGCATCGTACAAGTTTTTCAGACTCGTTTTTCTTGCCATCGCTTGGGGTTCAAGTAATGAGACAGCGAGTAGTGAGTCCTAATTAGGATGTGTATTTGATTAATGTAACAAAAAATAATCGTTGACCTAACAATTGTTGCTTGAACTATACGTATTTCACTTTGGTTTTTTTAGCCAAAATTGTCCATGAGATTGACTTAAATTCTTATTTTGGTTCATTAGATTTAAAATCGATAGACCTAGTCCATAAGTTTGTCCACTATCAATCATTTTTGTCATTCTATGGAAAAATCTCTGTTAAATAAGATTAAAATGACAAAAACCCTAGTTTCTTGTCAAATCATTTTGGCCATTGTTTATTAAATTGAGGATATGTTTGTATTTTTTTTTTTGGTTCTTATTTAACAAACATTTTTCACAGAACTGACCAAAATAATTGCTGATAGACGAACTTAGGAATCACTTATATTGATTTCAAATCTCATGTACTAAATTGAGGAATTATATCAATCTCTAAGACTATTATAGCTGAAATGCCTTCATTTTTTTTACTGAATTTGAACCATTACTTATACTTTAGTTTTACTTTTACAGTTTCTTTTGCTTCAAAGTAATTAATCATCAAAACTTGAGCTAGAAAAATGAAATCCAACAAAAGGTAAAGAAGTGAGAGTCTCTTTTTTCAATTTGACCATGTGTATCCTTTCAACAAATCAAACCTTTGAACAAAAAGAGGCAAATACGCACATTTTTCGACTCAAATCCACTTCATCTGCATTACCAAGGACTTGATGTCAATGGATGTAGAAGTACTTCTACATACTCATTCCTTTGCTTGGAGTTGGTTGATACAGTAAAAGTTAGTTACTTTGTCCTTCTCCTAGTTCCTACCCTATAATTTACCACCCAAGTAAATACCAACAAGTTACTCAAGCAAAGAGTGAGAGAACAGAAAAACCCAGTTACAAAGCATAAGCAACTGCTCAAACTAGGGTGTCAACATGTCCTATGACACGAAGACACGACACAAATACAAAAAATAGGTCTTTATGTGTACACAATTAATATTGTTCAACTAATATGATACTAATATCCCCATGAAATAACAAGAACGTTAGCCAAGACGAGTTCATTGGTGCTCTTACTATTGAGCATAATCAACAACTTACATTAGCTGAGATGCAACGTATGAGAAAAACTGAATTGGGGGCTCAAGGAATTGAGCATTTCCTCATGGGAACATTGGATTGCGTCCCCTAATATAGGTCGGCACTGAATTAATTTTTTTTTTCATTTTTGCGATGATGGATATTGTAAATTATTAACTTGCGCTAATATAAATAAATAATTATGAACGAGGCTTGTTGCCAACGTAGCTTAAACTAGCGTGACACGATAGTTTAATGAGAAAATGTGGGAGAAAGTTTTCAATGCATTTAAAAACTGATTAGATGAAGTGATTTAGAAATCCCACCCTACCTCTCTCTCTCTCTCTCTCTCTCTCTCTCTCTCTCTCTCTCTCTCTCTCTCTCTCTCTCTCTCTCTCTCTCTTGTACGTGAAAGTCATCCCAATTAAAGTACTTGTACATGTTAAGAAGCATCCTCAGTTTGCTAAGCATTACCCCCACACTTTCCATCTTTACATCCCTTCACACCACCACCACCGTTGCACCAGCTGGTTCCATTCCCCACTCCCACATTTTCTTTTGTTTTTATCTCACCAACAAAACCCCCCATCTCTCACCTTATATACCCTCATCACATTTCACTCTTTAATTGCATTCCCAACCTCCATTCTCTCTAAGTTCCTCTGCTCTGAGAGGTCAGTGCTACTATTTTTTTCAGGATTTTGTGTGTTCAATTACATTTCTTTGAGCTTCTGAAAGTTTACTGCTTTACTTCATTATCTGTTGTATTAAGTGTTATTGTATGTGTGTGTATCTCTCTGATATGCTGTGATGTATTATTCTGATTTGAACTGATCTACCTAATATGTTGGTGTGCATTGTTTGAATGTGGAGTCTTTCGTCTTGTTCTTCTAGTGATTTGTTGAATTGGGTTTTACTGAGAAACCTCTAGTGAGTGTGGGAAAGGTGAATCATTGCTTCATAGAAACTGAAGTTTTGATCTTCTTCTTTTTTCCCATTTTTTAATTTATTTTCTGGGTTCACAAACAGGGAATTGGGTCATTTTCTAAATTATTTTCACCTGCATTTCTTGTTTCTGCATTGCAGCTTCATTTACTGTTGCATCTGTTCTTTCAGTGTAATCCATTAGATCTTTAATGGGTAATTATCCTGTTTTTACAAATATTTTTACTGTAAATCAAGATCTGGCTCATTGTGTTTTTCTTACTCTTTCAAGAGTTAGAAAACTGGTTTTTGTGGAAAATTAGTTCTAGTGCAATGGAAAGGTGAAAAGTTTGGATCTTGGAGTAAACTGAAGAGTTTCTACTATTCACACTCTGATTAATTGGCATTTGTTTCATAGCAGTGGTTAATTGGTATTTTAGCACCTTGCATGTCTTGTTAAACTGAGATTTTAATTCACTATTTGGAATTTATTATTGCAGGAATTTGGAGAGTGTTTACCATACCAAATAGTACTATCAAGATTTTTGGACGAAATGGAACTTCTGTGGTTTGCATGCTACTGCTTCTGTGTTCTTCAGCAGCATATGCTCAAAAAGCCAAACCTCCCTCTCCCTCTTTCAGCCCTACTCCAGCCCCAGCCCCAGCCCCAGCGCCAGATTTCGTGAACCTCACGGCTTTACTCACTGTGGCCGGCCCCTTCCACACCTTCCTTAAGTACCTTCAGTCTACCAAAGTGCTTGAGACCTTCCAAGACCAAGCCAACAAAACCGAGGAAGGCATCACTATCTTTGTCCCAAGTGACAGTGCCTTCACAGCTCTTAAGAAGCCCTCTTTGTCCAATCTCACCGCTGACCAGCTCAAGTCCGTCATCTTATTCCATGCCTTGCCGCATTACTACACTCTAGCTGACTTCAAAAACCTCAGTGAATCAAGCCCGATTCCTACCTTTGCCGGCGGAGATTACACTTTGAACTTCACTGATGCTTCAGGCTCTCCGCACCTTACCTCAGGATGGTCAAACACAAAAGTGAGCAGCAGCGTGTACTCGACAGATCCTGTTGCAGTTTACCAAGTTGACAAGGTTCTTCTACCCGAGGCAATCTTTGGTACTGACATTCCTCCAACCCCAGCTCCAGCACCAGCTCCTGTCATTGCACCAGCTGCAGATGCTCCAACCGTTGACGGAGGCTCATCTCGAGGATCTTCACCGGGAAAATCTTCGTCTTACAGGATTATCAGCTGGGGCATTTGGGGTCACTTGCTTTTGGCAGTCTCAGGTGGCCTGGCCTTGATCTTGTGAGAGACTTTACCTTTGATCGAACATTGTTTTTAAGTTATGTTACGAGGGTCGATTCAGTTATTTTCGTTCGATTGCTTGATTTGAAACTATTTTTTCGTGGACATATGTGGTACCGAATATCTCTGTGTATGAGAATTTGAGTTCTTTTATTACCTGAGTAAATGGGATTTTGTTTGATCTGCTGCTCTTTATGCAGTGAAAAATGATTGTACTTTTAACTTAAATATTGTGTTGCTTGGCTTACAAGTTATACATAAATATATGTGAGATTTTTCATGTTTTGGGGATCGCCTACTGTTTTTTGCTTCTTCTGAGCAGTTATGCAACTGAAAGTAGCACAGGTTTTCACTGTGTCTCATTGAGAAACATGTTGCGTCGAAAAAAGATTAAGCATTACTCGCTAAATTGATCTTTACTAGGAGAAAGACTTGTGTGTCACAGAGTATATTTAAAGACGTGAGTGTCACGGAGTATATTTTCCCATCTTCGGATGTCACCGAGTTTATATTCTCATGTCAGTATCACACTCATTATGAGACTTGGGAGATAACTTGGGGAGATGGGATATATCTCCAACCAGGAGTCATGCTATGAACCTGCCCTTACTTTTGCTTATGACACCACCTGCCTTTTCAAACTACGGTGAAGTAAGACTAAGCTCATGAGCTTATTATCCTAGGACGGAACAGGTTGATAGGATCTTCTTTTTTACATTCTCATGTTCCTTCTGTGTGACGATGTGGGGTGTAAAAAAGAAAAGAGAGAAATGGGGTTTCTCTCGCTTTCGACATAGTGGGCCGCAGCGGAAGGCCCACAACGAGTTAAGCTAAGGCAGAAGTTCACTAGACATTCAAATGAAGGAGTAATATATGTAAATGTGGTATGAATGAAATATTGTTTTGAATTCTTATTGTTTGAGAATTATTTTGTTTTTAGTTTACACTTTTTTAAAATTGAAAATTGAAATCTTATTTAGTGACTCCTTTCAGTTTAAGTTTTTACAAAAATTAAAATTGTTCAAAATTTGGCCTTTGTTTTCAGTTATTTATTTATTTATTTAAACTGAATACTGACAAAAAATTAAAAATTAAAAATAAAATAGTTATCAAACGGTCCCTAAATCAACAAGCAACCAATGTGATCAAACTCTCTACTGACCATTGTAAAATTTTGTAACTTTCCGACATACGTGCTCACACTAATGTGTTTACTTATGAGGAAGCACAATAAAGTATTTGAAATTTATAGAAGATGCCAAACGGACGTTCCCACGGAAAATGAATGGTTTTTGTGTTCCCTCTTCCCTCACAATATTATTAGACATTCTCACACTCCTTATACAGAGACATAGCATCTCCTCTGCTTTTTCCATTTTCCTAATCTAACTTGCCTTCCGCCTGGCTCTCCGCGCGTCCTTTCGCCTACACGTTTTTCTCTCCTTCTCTCACTTTCGGTTCTTCCCTTTCATCAAATCTACACACAATATTTCTCTCTCTCTCTCTCTCTCTCTGAAGAACATCCAACCTTCTGCAGAAACAATGAGAAAGTCCTATCAATTTCGGTTTTGTTTTCTGAGTGTCCGTCAGGTACACCCCATTCCCGGACGTGGGTTTTGATTCTTTTGTTGGTTTATGTCCGTTACTGTACGATTAGATTGCTGGGTCAATCTTAGAAACGCGTTTTTTGATCGACGTGCATGGTAGTTTACATCTGTGATATGATTCCTCAACTGGGTTCTCTTCGTATATCGATCTAGTTTGTGTTTCTGTTGTTGCCAGATAAATAATTCCATGCTAAAATGTCGAACGTTGTGATCTTTATGGATATTTGAAGATTGAAATATGTGATTTTTGTTTCTGGGAATTCAGTGTTTGAGTTTTTTTTGTACCGGGAATTTGGCACAAAGGGGAACATGTCTGCATTTGAAGGAGTTATTGTTTCTGACACATGGCTGCAGAGCCAATTCACTCAAGTCGAGCTTCGCACCCTCAAATCGAAAGTAAGCTTTTTTTTTATTTATTAACAAATATATGCATTTTGTGTTTTGTTCAATTTTTAGGCTGTAGATGTTATTTTGGAGAAATTATATGATCATTTGGCAATTTTGTGGTGATATGTGGAATTGGTTGCATTGGTTTTAGTTTCTTTCGATAAGGAATCAGTCTGGTCGAGTCACATTGGGAGATTTGCCGCCTGTTTTTGTGAAATTGAAGGCTTTCAGTGAAATGTTTAATGAAGGTGAGATTAAATCAATCTTATTGGAGTCGGACAAGGATGCTGGCGAAGATACTGATTTTGAGTCCTATCTTCGGGTGAGTTTTCGAGTATGGAGCAAAGTCTTCCATTTCTATTTCATTTTAAATGAGATTATTGAACATACATTTTCAGTTTTGTTCGTTATAACTGTACATCATTTTCTGATACTTGTTAGACACAATGGAATGAGATTTGCTAAATGGCAGGCACATTTGAATTTGCAAGCGCGTGCAAATGCAAAATCTGGTGGTTCAAAACAATCTTCCTTTCTCAAGGCAACCACAACAACGGTTCACCATGCAATTAATACTTCTGAGAAGTCTTCTTATGTTGCCCACATTAATGGCTACCTGGCAGAAGATCCATTCTTGAAGAAGTATCTTCCCTTGGATCCATCTACAAATGCTCTATTTGATCTTGCAAAAGATGGAGTACTACTCTGGTAGGGGAGCCAGAACCACTGAATAATTTTCTACTCAGTAGAGTCAGCTGATATATTCGAGTTTCTTAATTATTTTAGTTGCTTGATGTAGTAAGCTTATCAATATAGCTGTTCCTGGGACTATAGATGAGCGAGCTATCAACACTAAAGCAGTCCTTAATCCGTGGGAGAGGAATGAGAACCATACCCTTTGTCTTAATTCTGCAAAGGCTATCGGCTGTACTGTAGTTAATATTGGCACACAGGACTTGGTTGAAGCAAGAGTAAGTTGAACACATGCCAGCTACCTATTGGAATCTTATTGTTACTTTCCTGTTGTCCTGAGTTAGCTCGTTTTCTCCTTATTCTTAATTTGCAGCCCCATCTTGTACTTGGCTTGATTTCTCAAATAATCAAGGTATGCTATACGAAATCTTTTTTGCCTTTTTCTTGTGTCTTTTAGGTCATAGAAACCACAATGATTCAAGATTTGGGCTGTCCAGGCTTAATCTGTAACTTGTTTTTTCATGTGGTGGCAATATCAGATTCAACTGTTAGCTGATCTCAATCTGAAGAAAACTCCACAACTCGTGGAATTGGTGGATGACAGCCAGGTCAAACTTTTTTATCTGTTTCCCTTTTATCCTCCACTTTGCTCTGTTTGTGTATGAACACACAAACTTACTTGAGCTATTATGTTAGTGGACAGGATGTAGAGGAGCTCTTGGGTCTGCCCCCCGATAAGGTTCTACTGAAATGGATGAATTTTCATCTGAAGAAAGCTGGCTACGAAAAGCAAGTCACAAACTTTTCTTCTGATGTAAAGGTAAGAGCGAGCTGACCACTTTGGTAATTATAAGCATTTTATGCATAAACCAAATAGCATTGGTGTTACAAGTGTACTTCTGGTTTCCAGTAAACTGATCACTAGATTATCAATTAGGAGGGAGAAGATTTTATATGTATTATATATACATCAGTATCTTATTTGACACTCTTGCAACTAGAATTTGTTGCTGGCTTATAAATAAAAGCAATATTCTTCAGAAAACTTATCCGGCATGATTTCTTTTGTTTTAAAGTCTGTTGAGTTTTTTCTTGTCCTCATGATCATGTAATAATCTCAACACATTTTCAGGATGGAGAGGCTTATGCTTACCTGCTTAATGCTCTTGCACCAGAGCACTCGGGCCCTGCTGCCTTGGATATGAAAGATCCTACAGCAAGAGCAAACCTGGTTCTTGAGCAAGCAGAGAAATTGGATTGCAAAAGATACCTTACTCCGAAAGACATTGTTGAGGGCTCACCAAATCTTAACCTTGCATTTGTTGCACAAATTTTCCAGCACAGGCAAGAAACAGTATTTCACAAGTGCTTTAGTTTGAGCTAGCAAATCTGGCTTTCTCTATTGCAAATTAATTATGCTGTGTTAATCCTGTGTGGCGTTCTTATTGCAGAAATGGCCTGTCTGCTGATAGTAAAAAAATGTCCTTTGCTGAGATGATGACAGATGATGCTGAAACTTCTCGAGAAGAGAGATGCTTCCGGCTGTGGATTAACAGTCTTGGAACTGCTACCTATGTCAATAATCTTTTCGAAGATGTCAGAAATGGGTGAGATTTTCAATTCCTTCTCACACTTACCCCTTCGAAGCACATACATGTTGTGGCTGGTTGACCTGTAGTTAATGCATCTCACTTGTGCGTGCAGATGGGTTCTTTTAGAAGTGCTTGACAAAATTTCTTCAGGATCAGTCAACTGGAAGAAGGCATCAAAGCCTCCAATAAAAATGCCATTTAGAAAAGTCGAGAACGCCAACCAAGTTATAGAGATTGGAAAGCAATTAAATTTCTCCCTTGTGAATGTAGCAGGGAATGATATTGTGCAAGGAAATAAGAAGCTCGTACTTGGTAAGTTTGAAGAGTTTTTTTTTCCTTAATGTTCTATCTTGGTACGACCACAATATTCAAGTTTTGCATCCAAGCAAGCCTTAAAAGTTATGGTACTTTCTTAGAACTATAGTTTTTTGATCGACTTGACAAAAATAAAAGACCGAAGTTTTTGTTTCTGGTTGTGCGCAGACAAACTGCGGCCGTGGCCTTTCTGTCAATTCATACTTTTTATGATGTAAGTGATAACTTATCAAATTTTCTACCTCTGCAGCATTTTTATGGCAGTTGATGAGGTTTAGTATGCTTCAACTCTTGAGAAACTTGAGATCCCACTCCCAAGATAAAGCGGGTAAGGAGATTACCGACGCCGACATTCTAAATTGGGCGAACAAAAAAGTTAAGAAGGCGGGTAGAAACTCCCAAGTGGAGAGTTTCAAGGTAATTAATTTGACAATAACCGTTTTCACGTACAGCTTTGATCCCATGGCTGGTGATTCAGTTTTTATTTATGGTTTTGTTTTTACTTAACTTTCAAATTTTAGGATAAAAATCTCTCAAGTGGAGTCTTCTTCCTCGAGCTTCTTAGTTCTGTGGAGCCAAGGGTGGTGAATTGGAGTCTTGCCACAAAGGGGGAAACTGGTATGCTAATTTTTGTTGTTCATGAAGGTTTTTTCTTACAACATTGTTTGTACACTTGTTACATTGTACTTGCTAAAAAGTTACCGTATCGAGCTAGCAGGCTTTTGGTTTCATAGGGATCGACAATTTGACATGGACATATATATAGACTTACAGTGGGAAACGTTTCTCACTTCTACGTCATGTTCTTCTCGTTACCACTCAAGTTTTTAACTTCATTACAATATTGCAGAGGAAGATAAGAAGTTGAATGCAACGTATATAATCAGTGTGGCCAGAAAGCTAGGTTGCTCCATTTTCTTGTTACCAGAGGACATTATAGAGGTATGAGTATTAGAGTTGATCAAAATATTTATACTTACTCATCTGTTTCATCTTGACTCGAATATATGAAAACATCGAGTACTTTCTGTCCCGTCTGGCCTCTGATTAAGTCATTTTTATTTCTCATATGTTTCTGTTTATGTTCAAACTGATTATTCAGTTGAAAACTGGTTTTAACCCAAACCTTAGTTTACCATCTTCAGCGGATTATTGATTAGTTGGTATGACAGGTAAACCAGAAGATGATGCTTACTTTGACTGCAAGCATCATGTACTGGAGTCTGCAGCAACCGGGAGGGGAGGTGGAATCAAACCTTACCACTCCTGACGGGTCCCCTACAGCTTCTGCTGATGGCGAGAAGGAAGCAGCTTTGGCAAGTGCAGTCTCTAATTTGTCCATGGACAAAGCTGCTTCAGACCATACCTCCCCACAGACGGAACACGAGAATCCCTCGAAGGTCGAAAATGGAAAAACGGGCACTTATGACGAAAGGTGATAGGATATATCCCCAGTCCTTCACATTTCAGTTTTTTTGTTTCCAGAGAGGAGGAATAAGAGGAAACTTGGTTGCAGTTATCAGACTTTCTCTTGTTAAGTGTCTTGTAAAACACATAAAAGTAAAAGGAAGGAGTTTTGTAAATTTTTATTAGAGAGATATCATTTTTTGTTCACCTTTCTTTTACTTTTTGTAAACTATTATTCTTTTTAATTGATATTGTTGCCATTTGATTTTGATTGGTTTTCTTTTTTAATACAAACGATATTCTACCTTAATCTACATTAAGGAGTTGTATTATGCACTTTCCTTTACTCTTAAATTCAAGTGTATTTAATATAGACTTTTTAGAGCATCTCCAAATGAAATATCAAAACTAACACATAGGTATATAACATTAAATATTGACAGCAAACTTTCTCCAACTAAGCCTTTAATTTCCTAAGTGACGCTTAGTCAATTGAAGGCAAAGTCTTCTGCTGTCAAATCCATTTAATATATTTTTAATAGATTTAATGGAAATATAATAAATGTGGCTGTGTATTTTAAGAATTTGATTGGTTGCCTACATTAATGGATCCCACAAAGTGATTAAAAAATTTTAGAATGACATTATTATTTGACATATCGGTTGGATCAAAAAATTGTACAAAATGCCAAATTGCCACATAAGCCATCAAATATTAATTTAATGTTTTAAATTTGACATTTTCTTTGAAGATACTCTATGGAGTCAACAAAAGTCATCTTGTATTAAATAGACTTTTTACAACTTTTAATTAGTTTATGAAATCTCGTGGTGTTCAGTTGACTTTTTGTGAGTCTACAAAAATCCAAGTGTTTTTCATTTATTTTAAAAGATTTTAAAAGATCATGGATTTTGATGAACTTTGAGTAAAGATTTTAATAGATTTCTTTTTTCTCAATTCTATGAAGATATACTTCACCATCCACCATAATACTAATGAACTATTATCATTATCATTACTTACACCACCACCTAAACATGACCATCTTCTCCATACCCACCGCCAAAACTATCACTATCGCCGCCGCCGCCAACATCGTCATTGCCATAAACATCATTGCCACCTTTATCTCCATCATCACCACCCCACCACCACAATCATGAGATGAAGAGAGAGAGACCCTAATTAATGAATCCACCACCTGCATAATATCGCTGAGAGATTTAGATCACTTTAGCAATTGAGAATTGTCAAATCTTCATTTCACCCAATTTCCCAGAAAGAAAAAAATCACCCAAATTATATTTGTAAAACTAAAAAAAAAATGTATGGAATTACATGCTCCGACGACCAAGAGATACAAAAGAAACAAATGTACAAACATGTTTTATTCATAATGTTTCTTTCCAATCTTCCTTTCGAAAAAAAAAAAATGTTCCATCCATCAAATGGAAAAGGAAACAAAATTGGCTAGTCTACGTATTCATGTTCTTGTTCACTTGACATGGGGGCCGTAGCATAAGGGTATAAAGATGTTCTAGGACCATTAGGAATACCGTCGTTGGCAAAACCATCGGATTTTTCTCGTTCTGCGACAACCATGAGCATCTCAAGGCGTTTGTCGAAAATTAACGCACTCTCGTCTCTCTTGTCAAGCTCAGCAGCTTCAGCTTCAAGCCATTTTTCTCGCAAGTCATCGAGAAGGTTGCACTGGTCCGTATTGACTTCAGCTCCTGGTGCGCTTGGAACAGTTGTCCGCAATGATGAATCCCCGGATGGTGGAGGCAGAGTCAACAGCATTGCTCGGAACTCACTCATTTCGGCAAATGCCTCAAAATTACAAGCTATGGTATCGAGACAAAATTCCCTTATCTTCGGCACATCGTACCTGCACACAAATGTGATTATCATATGATTGTAACATGTCTGAGTTCAAGGCTAACGATCATAGGAGTAGGGGATAAAGGAGCACCATACATGTCTGACAATTGCAGCCAATGGCACAGTTCTGCAGGTGAGGCCTCTTCCAGGTGCGGCAGTAGTACATCAGCTACCACACGTTTAAGAGGAAACAGTAAATATCTAGCAGCAGCATCAAATAATTCCCCGGCCTGCTCAGTTGACAACGATTATTAGACTAGAAACATAACAGAAACTTTCTTTTCAATAAGGTTACAAGATCCATTATTTCTTTGGAGAACTAATAAAAAGTCCCTCATGAGGGTTTTGAAAAAAAAAATGTCCTTAGTAATAGAAAAAGGTGCCCTTAATGATAAAACCAAGTTGTTTTAAGCGTTTCTGAATAAAAAAAGTAGTGAGGGGCTTTTTATTAATTTTCTATTATTTCTTTGATGCTAGAAGCTCCAATTAATATCTAAGCTACCTGATCAGGGTCTATATCCTTCAATTCGTCCGTGTACCTGAACCAACCAAAGAGTCAAAATAAGTTGCCTGACACAAACAATCCAAAGAACTAAAACATAGTTGATGGCACAACAGTACAAGAATGCTGACTAGGTACAAAATTTCTGGTCATCGTATTGATCAAACAAATAGCTGAAATACCAAATTCCGGGAGTATATTCACTTCATAACATTCTAATTCATTTTTGACACTATGATTATTCTCCTTCAGGAAAAAGAAAAAGGAACACTTACATATACTCGATCATTTTCTCAAATGCTTCTGTGCTCAAATCATGTTCCTCAAGACATGGAAGGGTATCAATGGGTGTATCATCTTTCCCTTCATGAAAGTCCATCATACGGGATAATCTTGCTTTAAAATATTCTGATCTTGATGCTAGAACCACTTGATGGCATCGGAAATTCTTTTTATCAACTCTTACACAAACATCCGCAAGATCATTTTCAAAATCATTGATTTGCATGGTACCAGCAAAAGATATTAATTCTTTAACCCCATCGTTTAGGTTGGGTTGCCGGGTGGAATTAGCAAGAGAAACCTGAAGGATCTTATGCAAGGAAGCAGGAAGCCGATCTTCTTCAGGAAGAAACAGGCCTTGTAAGATGAACCGTTTTTTAGAGCTGTCTATCTCACTTAATGATTTGTAATCGGCATATTTTTGGTGAATCAGTTCTTTCTCTAGAATCCCTTGTAAAGATTCACATTTACATACTTTGCAGATCCTCACAACATCCTCCATATCATCTACAGCAATCTCTAGTCTGTCCGAGTAAAAGAAATGGATGAGACTGTATAAAGCAGGATACGACAATTTCTCCCTTGCAAATCTTACTTCTTTGCGATGCTTCCAATCAGTCACAAACTTTCTTCTGAAAAATGGTGAACGGGCACTTAAGATGACTCTGTGAGCTTCGATGGCTCTACCTTGAACATAAAATATCACATCTGGAGGGAAGTAGTTGAAACTGGACCCATCGTTGGATTGAAAACCTACTCAGGACCATCAAATGCCCCAGTGTCACTTAACATGCATATTGCTTGTGAATGAAAAATATGTTATACAACATGTCCTGACTGGCGTTGACATATATGAAAACGAAAAGCATTAATCAACACATTTAGATTTCAGAAAGTTAGAGCCAATGACATCTTCCTTATCCTTACATTTCAGAAAACAGAAACGAAAACAGAAAGCCGTACACGTTTACGCCTTATTTAGTAGCATGTCCTGGCTGGCGTTAACATAAATGAAAATGAAGAGCATTAATCAATACATTTAGATTTCAGAAAGTTGACATCTTCCTTATCCTTACATTTCTGAAAACAGAAACGAAAATAGAAAGACGTATACTTTAACAACTCTTCACTACTGAATAAGAACACAAAGGGGTGTATCAAGCTTCATGCTAACTATGTTTTACAAAAGCCAATCCTCACACTACATTGGCCAAGACTCAAGAAATGAACTACGAAATTCTTTGTCTTACCTACACTAAAGTTCTCGTAACCCATTTACTCCTCATAGATACTAGATAGCCAACATTTCAAAAGCAAGCATTTCACAACCCCTCAGCTAACAATTAACACCAACCCATTACTTCTTGTTAAATTTTTGAAACCAACCCATTAGTTCTTGCGGAATTCGAAACCGACCCATTCCAATTTAGAAACCAACATTTCGATTTTCAAACCATTCAATTGCAAGCACCAATTCACACAATAAACAAGCAAAATACCTGAAATTTCAATGTGGGCATCATCTGCCTGCTCCAAATAAGCCCTATTCGCCCCGCATCCCAAGAAGGTCTCCCTCATGGCGGCCTGTAAGGGGTTCAGCGGCGGGGGCCTGGCCTCAAACGCCTTCAATAGCTTCCGCACCTTCAAATTAAGTGCGGCGTAGTGGCAAGCGGTCGCCGTCGAAGGTGTGCTCGGAGCATATGGCGCCGTTCTCGAGCAGCATCCGGGCGGCCTCGAGGTGTCCGGCGAGGCACGCGTAGTAGAGTGCCACCGAGTCCCACTGGTCACGTGCGTTCACGTTGACTCCGGAGTCCAACAGGTACGCGAGGCGGTCAACATCGCCGGCACGTGAGGCCTCGAAAACGTCGCCGTTGGGGACTTTCTTGAGGGCGACGGAGGCGGCGAAGTCGGAGGGGTCGAGGTCGATCCCATCCAGCTCGGGATCGATGGACCAAGACGGCCGGTTTTGAGTCATCGGGTCGGGTTTGGGGGTTTAGTGGGTCGGGGCTTTGGGTGCATGATGGGCGGCAGGGTGGCGGCGGGTGGGTTTGGAGAAAGTGAGCATTCTGGTGTGTTCAGTGTAACGGTTTTTGGATTGAAGGAGAAGGGTCGGAGGGAGATTTGAGTTTTTCTTTATTTAATTGTGGAAAATGAAAACTAACCCCTTTTTTATTGCAAAATAAAATTCATATTTTTTTTATTCTTTGTCAAGAAAAAAAATATCTTCGTGGAGAAACTCTTGTGCAGAATGTTATCAGAAAAATATATGAAAAGGAGGAACTTCACCGGAGAAATTTTTAAATTTCGTCGAAATATATCAGGTTAAATATTGAATCTCTTATATTTCATCTAATTTAAATTTTCATCATTATTTATTGAAGCAACTAGTATCAATATTGATATCAGAATCAATATTTCAACAAATTTACATATCGATGTTTTCACCAAGATTTAAGAGTTTTTTCTGATATATTTCCAAATCTTTCTCTGAATTTTTTTTATATTTCTTCGAAAATATTGATGAATAAATTTCTAGCAGTGTATGGGACGCATAAGGTTGTGATCGTAGCGCTGCTTGAGCATTTATATACCGGTACACTTGCATGGATCTTCCGAAGAAGAGGGTTCTTAACAGAGTACCATTTTTGTAGTTTCATTTTTTTAGTTGAATAAATTTTCAACAACAAATTGAATTTCATTCAATGAAATTTATAGACACAGCAACGTTGAAGCAAAAATTACAGGGCATAAAAATACGTCAATGCCCGAATTTGCAGCGTATCTAATCATCTATATGGTAACAGTTCCAAATTTACATTCGATCACCTCCTACTACAACATGCTAATACACAACAGGCAGTCTCTCTTACTTGGTTGTTGTAAACACGAGAAATTCCTGAAACAGGCGAGAGACAAGAATACGTGTACAAAATAATATTTTGTATTAATGATTTTGGGGTTACAATCTCTTTGTAATTTGGTCCTCTGATTCTATCTTCGTAGGGTGTGGGTTTGTGGATGAGTTGTTGATCCAAAGGGCCGTCGGGGCTTGATCTAAGGATGCACAGCTGATGAATGGATCTTCAAGGGGCGTTGGGCTTGATCTTGAAGGTTGATGGATGAACGGATCTTCAAGGGCTTTTGGGCTTAATCTTGAAGGATGAACGGATGTGTGGATTTGTTGAGGTTGTTGATCCAAAGGGGCCGTTGGGGCTTGATCTTAGGATGAACGGATCTTCAAGGGCTTCTGGGCTTAATCTTGAAGGTTGATGGATGAACGGATCTTCAAGGGCTTTTGGGCTTAATCTTGAAGGATGAACGGATGTGTGGATTTGTTGAGGTTGTTGATCCAAAGGGGCCGTTGGGGCTTGATCTTAGGATGAACGGATCTTCAAGGGCTTCTGGGCTTAATCTTGAAGGATGAACGGATGTGTGGATTTGTTGAGGTTGTTGATCCAAAGGGGCCGTTGGGGCTTGATCTTAGGATGAACGGATGATGAGCGATGAACACTTTCTTCAAGGGCCGTCGGGGCTTGATCTTGAGTTGGTGGAAGTTCTTCAAGGGCGTCGGGGCTTGATCTTGAAGGTTGATGGATGATGAACGATGAACGGATGTGTGGATTTGTTGATCCAAAGGGGCCGTTGGGGCTTGATCTTAGGATGAACGGATCTTCAAGGGCTTCTGGGCTTAATCTTGAAGGATGAACGGATGTGTGGATGATGAACACTTTCCTCAAGGGCCGTCGGGGCTTGATCTTGAGTTGGTGGAAGTTCTTCAAGGGCCGTCGGGGCTTGATCTTGAAGGTGGATTTGACGAAGAACGAAGATTGCTTTCTTGATCCTTCGGGATTTGCTTGAGAGCTTTAGAGTTTCAAGGCTTCTTTCTTTCTTCCTTCCTTCTTTTCTTCTTTTCCTTTCTCCTTCTCCTTCCTTCTTTTTTTCCCTTCTTCCTCCTTCTTTTCTTCCCCCTCCAAATGAATGCCTTTGGCCTCATATTTATAGAATTCCAAAACTTGATTTTTGGATTTAAATAATCAGATGAAATAAATCGTTTCTGCCAGGTATTGACACGTGTCATATTTGATGACTTTTCCAATTTATTTCGATTTTTTGTTGAATCACACGCTACATGTAAAATTTATGTGACACGTGAACGTTGAAATTTTAATTATTGATCAACATTCATTTCACCGAAATTTTGATGTCTACAAATGCCCCCACTTCAAGGCGCGTCGTAAACATGTGCTTGTCACGTGTAGAAGATGCGTTTTGAAGTCCCTTAATGTAGATGTCAACCCAAGGGCCGTCGAGGCTTGATCTTGAATTGGGCTGGAAATTTCTTCAAGGGCCATCGAGGCTTGATCTTGAGCTTGACTGGAAGATTTTCTGGTTTCCTCCAATCGTTGATTTTCCGCAGGCTTAATCTTGAACTGGGCTGGAGGATTCTTTTGGTCTCCTCCGAAGGTCTGAACTTACTCCTTTTATCTGGAGTTGAATTTGATTCAAGGGTGGTGAACACTTGATTTTGAATCGGACTTGTGATTTCTTCAAGGGCCATCGAGGCTTGATCTTGAACTGGGCTGGAGGATTCTTTTGGTCTCCCCCTACCGTTGATTTTCCTTTGTGCTACTCTTGAATTGGGTAGCAGGATTCAGACACATGGCAGGCAAGCAGGAGGTGGAAGTGATGACCTGTTTCTTTGTTCAATCTTTCCCCAATTCGTATTGAAGAGGGTAGATCGGCAGACTGACTCCAAGTGCCGTCTGATTGCTCTTTTCACTTTGTCATGCGAGTAATAACAAGGACAAAGGAAAGGACATGGAGAAAGCATGATATAAGATACCTTTGCTTTTGAAGAAGCAGCGAATGAATCAGCACATATATTTGTTGTGCTTGTCTCCACATGCTTTGATGTATCATTTTCACTTGTCTTACTTGCTCCCTTTGCAGAAGTGGTATTTCCTTATGCAGGTTTGGCATCTTCTCGTGTAGTATTTGTCCTCTGATGCAGGAATGGAATGCAACCTTTGCATTTAAATGGTGCTTCAAAACATTACTTCTCCGCGACGATGAGTACTCGAGAGCAATGCAAGGTAAGCAACCAGGCAAAGGTTCCAGGCAATCAGTTCCAGGTCGGAAGTTTGATTTCAGGTTCCGACTGATAACTCTATTTCCCCTTCTCCTGCATGTAAGAGCAAGGACAAAGAAAAGGACAGGGAAAAAGCATGATATGAGATACCTTTGCTTTCGCCCTTGATGATATGAGATACTTTTGCTTTTGAAGAAGCGGTGAATGAATCAGCACATGCTTCCATCTACCGTTTCCTCCTGGGTCATCTGTACTCCAGGCATCTGGTATCATCTTTGGGGAAGAGGAAAAAAATTGAGTATTTTGAGATGTTTTGCTGGGAGTGTACTCTCGGAGGTGAGGAAGAGTTGGGCATTTTTTTTTTTTTTCCGCAGGTCTGCCTTGCCATAAAAGATGAAGGTCGACATATATAGGGATTTCCCAATAGCAAGTGGTGGTACTGTTCTTTTACCCTTGTCGACAAACGTTTTGATCCCGCAAATTCGGCTTTTTGAAATAGTGACGACTCTTCGATCTTTGAATACGCCTCTTTGATTTCTGAACGACGCCTCTTCGATTTCTGAACGACGCCTCTTCGATTTCTGAACGAGCGTCTCTTTTGACAAAGTGGCACGCGTTTTCTGAAAAGCAGAGAAAGCGTCGCCGAACTTTGCGCTCGTCAGCTAAAGATGTGTAGCTGCGATGATGACCTCCACGTGATCTTTTGACAAAGTGGCACCCGTGCTCTGAAAAGCCGCGAAAGCGTCGCCAGCCTCCACGTGTTTTCAACTTTGTCGGAGATCTTTTGACAAAGTTGAACGCGTTTTCTGGAAAGCCGAGAAAGCGTCGCCTAACTTATGCCGGAAAATCCAGCTTTTGAGATTTGCAGAGCGATGTCTCTTCACTTTTGAACAAGCGGCCCTTCGATTTCTGAACCAATGCCTCTTTGATTTCTGAGCAAGCGCCTCTTCCTTTTTATAGAGGTATTGATCACCTGTAACATGCATACTTTGAAGGTTGCTCATTCCTGAAAATCATCTCCGGCCTTTTGAGTTTTAACTCCATCCACCCATCTATTTTAACACCTTTGAAAAATGGCTAATCCATCGAACCTTAGCTTAGAATTGAGTCTCAGCAGTGATCCGGTTGCGCCGCTTCAAGGTAATGTATGGTGTCCTTCTTTCTTATCTTCTAACGGTCCTCTTACAGGTGAAGACTCAGTGATGCAGGACGCCACAACAGCTACAATAGTGGCTCGGAACCTCCTCACTCCCAAAGACAGTCAGCTACTTTCAGGACGGTCCGATGAGTTGGCCGTTCAAGAGTCCCTCGCTCTTAGTGTTCAGTGTGCGGGCTCTGTGTCCAACATGGGCCAACGCCTGCTTGCTCGGTCCCGTCAGGTAGAATCATTGATGGCAGAGGTGGAAGATCTTAAGCAGGAGATTAAACAGCTTAAGTACGAGAATAGAAGTTTGCATGTGCTTGCAAATAACTATTCGTCGGGCATGAAGAGGAAGCTTGATGAGATGCAAGAATCTCAAGGTCGCGTTCAAAGTGACCGTCAAAGGCTTGCGTCTTTCTTCCAGAGGCACATTTTTCCGGCGTCATCAAGCGTTCCACCAAGTATTGAGGCCTCGAATGCTCTATCTCCGATGCCTCTTGCTCCAATGCCTTCTGCTCCGAGAGTGTTGCCACGTAGTGGGGCTTCACGTACACATCCTTTGTGAAAGCTTCAACTTTTTTTTTTTTTTTTTTTTTTTTTTTTTTTTTTTTTTTTTTTTTTTTTTTTTTTGTACACATTTGTAATTTCTCGAAAATCAATGAACATGCTTTGTTTTATTTAGTGTATTGTGCTAAATACAGAGAAAACATGTACATCACCGTCCATCATCATTTTTTTATTCTTTCCTTTGCTTTCGGTGGCGCTGATCCACCGTTCATTTATATATATATATTTCAGATGGTGCCAGAAGCACCACCATTGTTTTTTCTTTCTTTTTATTATATATATATATTTTTTTTTTTCTTTTTGCACATGACTCCAGAAGCACCATCATTTTTTCTTTTAATTTTTTTTTTATTATTCTTTTAAAAGATGCTTCCAGCATCATCATTGCGGCTTTTATTTATTATTCTTTTGAAATATGCTTCCCGGCATAATCATTGCTACTTTTTTTTTTTTTTTTTTTTTTTTTTTTTTTTTTTTTCTTTATAAGGCCATCTGCAAGGCTGAGTTCGTGGGTGAAAACCCAGGCCGTGTCCGAGAGAAGACGGAGGAGATCTTTGGGTGTGAGTTGACAAACTTTGATTTTGTTGATCACATTCAAAGGCAGCAGCAGAGGCAAGCAGACGGATGAGATCTTTGGGTGTGAGTTAACAAACTTTGATTTTGTTGATCACATTCAAAGGCAGCAGCCATGGCGGAGGTGCAGGAAGCTTCATCAAGGCAAGTTCAACAGAAGCAGAGCTTACAGAAACTGCCCCAGCAGCAATGTTTGTTTCAGTTCTAACCCGCTTTCCCACAGTGATTGCGTGCTTGAACAGCCTACTGATGTTTCTACCAAAGCCAACAACTCCTTGGCCGACTTTAACAACTTGTTTCACCTGGGCAAGAATTTGACCTTCTCCGAGGACAAGAGAGTCAAGACCTGCTGATACTTCAAAGAGGTGCTGAGTGGCATCTTTATTATAGAGTAAAAACCGGTGTTGGCATAGCTCAGAAACAGGGACTCCACTTGACTTTGACATCCACTCGGTAACTTCTTTGACACCACGATGATGAGAGAGAGCTACAACATATATCTCCATTCGGTTGCAAGTACTAAGAACAGCTGCTTCTTCTATGTGATTTAAACCACACAGCTCCTCTATGGCTCGAGGCCATTCTGCTTCTGGAATGGCAATTTTTTTTTTTTTTTTTTTTTTTTTTTTTTTTTTTTTTTTCACGCATTTCAACGGGTGTTGTGTGAATACTAAGTCCGATGACCACAATACTGCTTCTTTCCTTTGTGTATCTATCAGCGGCAGAGGTCTTGAGCTGCTCAAGAGTGGAGATATTGGAAGAAGGTAAGAGAGACTGGGGGGTCGGCGGACCATGGAACCACCACTCGAGGTCGGGGCGACGATCTGGAGCACCGTGTCGACGTCGCGGGAGCTCAGGGCGTCATAAAGGGCGAGCACCACCCTTCGATTGCTGGACTTAGCGTCTTCCAGAGCTTCCAGAGAGTTAGCCAGTCGTAATCGTGCTTTCCGCCGTCTGTAGATGACAACAGATCATCAATGCCAGTTCTTCCCACCTTGGCCGATCCAACTGACAGCCTCCCCATCTTCCTCCGTCAACGGCTGGGCGGTGAAATCGCAGGGAGTGGAGAATGAGCGACTGCACGAAATAGATCCCGAAGAATCCAAGCAAGTAGATGAAGGAGGCGACGAACGCGAGTATCGCGACGATCTCGGAGAAGTTCACGACGTGGAGCGGCGTCGAGGTCCTGATCTTCCTCTATTATTTTCTGAAGCTCAGCATCTGCCCAATCTTCAATTCTGTCTGGGTTTTTTACGAGAGGCAAATGATCGGCTGCGACCAGTGCAAGCAGGTCGAAGGAACTTTCACTACCATTTCTCTCTGCTTTTCAGATCAGAGAAAAAATGTGAAAAAAATTTGATAGATTTGCAAAAAAGCTTTGTATATATAAAGCTTCGAATTTTTTTTTTTTTTTTTTTTTTTTAATCGGATCTGTAAAGTCTCTGCCTTTTTTGCTTCCGACTCACTCTTCAACTTGTTCAATTTTTTGGCGGAATCCGGTGCGTTTCAGATCAAGGTCGGGAGAATGATGAGTTTTCCGGCGAGGCACTCGTAGAGACGCTCACGAAGGGTAGCTTCTAACTGAGTACTCATTTTGGGCTTCCTGCTCGACCCTGTAGTCATCTTCGTCGACAATGGCCTTCACCAGCCTCTCCAGCTGCTTCTTTATCTCCACGGCCTTCGCCTTCTCCGCCGCCGTGGACGCATCGGCGTCGGTCACAGTTCCCTCCCCGGAGACGAAACCTTTCCTGGCCATTTGCGGAGGAAGGAAGAAAAATTGAGATCAGGGGTTGCTGTTGCTCTGATTATTCGTCTCAGATGAATGGGACGTCGAGAATTGTAGACCGTTGCTGCAGCTGCATCGTCTCGTCTGTCAGAGGAAGGCGAGAGAGACACAGAGAGAGATGCTCTGTTTTCCTGGATTTCTTTTTGTCTTGGTTTCTGTGTGCGACTGATTGATGGAGATGGATCGCCCGTTGGTGTAGAAATCAGGGACGCCGCCGCCTCCTCCGCCATTGAAGCCTCCCGATTGCATTTTTTTTTTTTTTTTTTTTTTTTTTTTTTTTGGTGCCTGAAGAAACGCATGGAAGGAGAAGAAGAGACAGTTTCTGTTTCTGTTTCTCTCTCTTATTGTCGCCTTGCATTCATTTGTAATTGCAATTAATTTGATAACTCGGCCAGATTCCAAACTCTAGAGAGAGAAAGTGAGGAGAGAGAGCTGGGATGCGGTAGGGTCCATAAACATGCTGGGGAGCTGGGATCGGCGATCGGACAGGGGAACGGCGTACCAGTCGGGGTGGTTGTTGACGCGTTTGTCAGTTTGTAGCCTCTGCAATTGCCTCTGGAACTCTACCGAAGTCACCACTGGATCCGATCCGATAACCCGTGGCCTGATCTGACAAACTCAGGCGGCGGCGCAACTTGATGTTGCTATCGACAGCGAAAATCTTGGTCTCGCCGCCGACGTAGCAGAGCTGGTTGTCGTGCGGGCGAGGGAGGATCTTTCCACCGTAGCTGCACATGAACTTGGCCTTGTAATTTTGGGTCTGAGGATTGGCTGGGTCGACCTCCCATGGCGGAGTGTTCTCGAAATCGATATCTCATGATCGTGGGGACGTGGTGGAATCCAAGAGAGAATGGCTGAGAAGCTGATTATAATGGATTCCATTCAAGGGGTTTAAGGCTAGAGGGAGGTTTGGATTTGGAAAAAGAAAGAGGAGAGGAGTGCTGGAAAGTTCTGGCCTTAAGGGAGCGAAGATAGAGATTTTGGCTCGGATTCTGGTGGGTCTGGGTGCGAGGAAGAAGAAGGACGCCATTGGACTGATGCTAATAGGCTCACGGTTTTGGGCTTTATCTTCAACAATCCAGCCCACGGTTTGGGCTTTTATCCTCAACAATCCAGCCCAATCATGGTTTGGGCTTTATCTTCAACAATCCAGCCCACCGCCATTATTATTATTTGTAATACATTATAATTTTTTTATTTTTTATTTTTTAATTTTTTTTTAATTTTTTTATTTTTTATTTTTTTATTTTTTTGATAATACATTATAACATATGTATTTTTTTTTCTTTTTTTTTTGATAATACATTATAACATATGTATTTTTTTTTTCTTTTGTAATAAAATTGACTTTCTTTAATGAAACATTTATTTATTTATTTTGATGTGACTGTACTTGAAGTTTTGAAGTTTCAAGTTGCCTACGTACTCTTCCAAAGAAGAGATCAAGTCATAACGTAGTTCAAATGAGTGATGATTTTGGTGATGATTTTGATGATGATTTTGGTGATGATTTTGATGATGATTTTGGTGATGATTTTGCCGTACACAGTTTATGCTCTTGCGGGCCAGGAGCGTCTTGGTGCCGTTTGCATTTTTAGCTCGTGCAGGCAAGGAGCGTTTGTTGTCGCCTTTTATGCTCGTGCGGACAAGGAGCTTTGGTTGTCGCCTTTTAGGCTCGTGCGAACGAGGAGCTTTGGTTGTTGTTGTGGATTTGTCAAGCGATCTGGGAGAGGCGTTCCTCGCAATCTTCATAGGAAGGAGCCTTGACCGAGTAATTGAAGAAGTCTTCTGGGAAGAGGTCGCACATTGTGATGGGGATGGACGATCTTTGTGTCGAAATTTCATTATCTCCAACACTTTCACATTGTTCTGGAGGTTGACAAGAGCTGTTTTGCCCCCTTTTCGATTGATAAACTTGTGGACAAGATGGTTGCTGCTTGTCCAATTTCTTCGCAGCGATCTTCGAAAGACATTCCTCACAATCTTCATAGCAAGGAGTCTTGATCGAGAAATTGAATAAGTCTTCGAGGAAGAAAAGATCCCGCATGAACGATCTTTGTGTTGAAATTTTCTTATCTTCAACATTTTCACATTGCTTTGGAGGTTGGCGAAAGCTGCTTTCCCCCCTTTCTGATTGGTGCACTTGTGGAGAAGACATATGTTTCTCGTGCAGTTTCTTCGAAGCGACATGAGTCCATCCTTCAATTTCACTTGACTTGGAGCATGCCCCCAACAGTCGAGGTGAAGACTTTGAGTCGAAAGAGCCAGAAGTGACATCTTTCTTAGGGATTTCATCTTCAGTGCCGTCCTCTTGGGTTTGTTGGCATGAAGATTTGCCAGTGTGGACGACGATGCGCCTCCTTACCTTCAGTGGTCCTTTTGTGTCGACCTCTAGGATTGCTTGGCGCTTCATCCTTGAAGGAATCAAGCTTTGAACGTCGCCTTTTTCTGCTAACCCATCGAACTTTTCTTCCTTTGGTGTTGTCTTCCTCTTTCCAAAAGGCTTCTCATTATCTTCAAATCTTTCCGAAGCTGATGGTCGCAGAGGAGAGATAGCTGTGTTGCTTTGTTTCTTAGGCTTTAACAACCTTTCAAAAACAGAGCTTTGGGATGTTGGCATGCTAAGCCTCTTGAAGACAGAGGTTCGGCCTTGACTACCAATGCGATTAAGCGCTGAAATTCTGGAGCTTGAATGGCTCATCCTATCGAAGACCGACGGCCGAGGGACGGGTTTAGGCTCCTTTTGGTCTTGTTCAATGCTCACGCTGATGTGTTGAGCGCTAGCTTTCTTCACTTTGCTTGAAATCTTCACGGGTGCATTTGGTGTGAAGCCAAGTCCGGCTTTGTTGTTGTCAACTCCGTAACCATGCTCCTTCAACTTCTTTTGAGTTTTGGTGAGGTTAAGTTCTTTGTCATCGACGGTGTTTGAAACCTTCTTTCCAAGATTTGAAGAGGAAGCAAAGTCATGCCTAGCCTTTGACATGGGTTCGTAGGCATTTGGGTTAAAGCCTTCTTCGGTCTTCTTAGTTGGAAGAGAGCTTGGTTTCATTTTGACGCCATGCTGTGCCTCCAGACGGTTGATGAGTCCGGCGGTTTGCAAGTTTTTCTCCTCTGCAGTCCGTGTGAGCTTTGTGATTGCTTCATTCATCTGAGCTAGTTGCTCCTCGATTGAAGTTGCTCCAGTGGTCATGACTTGCATGGTTGTACTGCCGCTCGAATCAGCGCCGGAGGGTAGGGACTCTGAGTATTTCCTCAGGCTTTCCCCTCTTGATGCCCTTAGCGAGGCTAGGGTGATCACAGGATCGTGCCTCAGGTGCTCTTGTTCCTTTGACAGAGTTAATGCAGGGGCGGAAGCCGCGGCAAAAAGAGCTCTTGCTTCACTTCGGGTTGTGATGCCCAAAATATCACCAGTTGCGGCGATAATGTTCTTGTTCTTCGCTTTGACTGCAGGAACAGCTTGATCCTTTCTTGATGCCATTTGCGTTTTTTTGATGATTTGAGGATAGAGATGAGAGGTAGAGATAAGTCCCACTGGGCGTGCCAAATTTGTAAACACGAGAAATTCCTGAAACAGGCGAGAGACAAGAATACGTGTACAAAATAATATTTTGTATTAATGATTTTGGGGTTACAATCTCTTTGTAATTTGGTCCTCTGATTCTATCTTCGTAGGGTGTGGGTTTGTGGATGAGTTGTTGATCCAAAGGGCCGTCGGGGCTTGATCTAAGGATGCACAGCTGATGAATGGATCTTCAAGGGGCGTTGGGCTTGATCTTGAAGGTTGATGGATGAACGGATCTTCAAGGGCTTTTGGGCTTAATCTTGAAGGATGAACGGATGTGTGGATTTGTTGAGGTTGTTGATCCAAAGGGGCCGTTGGGGCTTGATCTTAGGATGAACGGATCTTCAAGGGCTTCTGGGCTTAATCTTGAAGGTTGATGGATGAACGGATCTTCAAGGGCTTTTGGGCTTAATCTTGAAGGATGAACGGATGTGTGGATTTGTTGAGGTTGTTGATCCAAAGGGGCCGTTGGGGCTTGATCTTAGGATGAACGGATCTTCAAGGGCTTCTGGGCTTAATCTTGAAGGATGAACGGATGTGTGGATTTGTTGAGGTTGTTGATCCAAAGGGGCCGTTGGGGCTTGATCTTAGGATGAACGGATGATGAGCGATGAACACTTTCTTCAAGGGCCGTCGGGGCTTGATCTTGAGTTGGTGGAAGTTCTTCAAGGGCGTCGGGGCTTGATCTTGAAGGTTGATGGATGATGAACGATGAACGGATGTGTGGATTTGTTGATCCAAAGGGGCCGTTGGGGCTTGATCTTAGGATGAACGGATCTTCAAGGGCTTCTGGGCTTAATCTTGAAGGATGAACGGATGTGTGGATGATGAACACTTTCCTCAAGGGCCGTCGGGGCTTGATCTTGAGTTGGTGGAAGTTCTTCAAGGGCCGTCGGGGCTTGATCTTGAAGGTGGATTTGACGAAGAACGAAGATTGCTTTCTTGATCCTTCGGGATTTGCTTGAGAGCTTTAGAGTTTCAAGGCTTCTTTCTTTCTTCCTTCCTTCTTTTCTTCTTTTCCTTTCTCCTTCTCCTTCCTTCTTTTTTTCCCTTCTTCCTCCTTCTTTTCTTCCCCCTCCAAATGAATGCCTTTGGCCTCATATTTATAGAATTCCAAAACTTGATTTTTGGATTTAAATAATCAGATGAAATAAATCGTTTCTGCCAGGTATTGACACGTGTCATATTTGATGACTTTTCCAATTTATTTCGATTTTTTGTTGAATCACACGCTACATGTAAAATTTATGTGACACGTGAACGTTGAAATTTTAATTATTGATCAACATTCATTTCACCGAAATTTTGATGTCTACAGTTGTTTCATTCTTACAGAAACGCAGATGAGAGACAACAGTTTCAGTTTCTTTCTTCCCGAGAGGAACAATGCCCCTAACAGGGTGCCCAACATTTTTGCAGCTTGATCAGCTCGATGCAGCAAATGCTATTTCTCGTCCAGTTTTAGGGAATTTAGCCTTCTAACTCTCTGATCGAGCTCCTTCATCACCGCTGGTTCTTGCTTTTTCCTTTGCTTTGATATCGTGTTGGTTGTCATTGAACCTATCTGATCGAATGCCACCTGCAATAGTGTGGACGTCATATTAGATGGAAAATCGTTTCAGAACCTGGTATTCACGGACTTGGAAAATTATGTGAACCTATCTTTTTACATCAATTAATCATTTGTGACAGATCTGTTATCCGTAAATAGGGAATGACATTTATTTTTATATTCACGTCAGTCAAGTTTTTCGTTAATGCATTTACTGATACAAGGTTGACACGACGAAAATAAATATTTCCCTGGGGGGAAAAAGGAAACTGCAGAGAAATGCGTTACCGTCAATAGCTCATCAGGATCAAATAGGTGATGAGTGGTTTTCTGCAGAATACTGATTACATCACCAACATGATGGGTTATAAGCAGCTCATCTTCCTTCATCTGCAATCGCAAATCACAAAATCAGACAAACTTTTCCCGTATTCATGTCAAGAGCTAGTAAATCTGCATAACAAAATACAAGCAATGGAAAAGGCCAAAGTATAAACTTCTTGTACCTTAAAGATTGCCAAAGCGACATGAAATAGAACTTTAGCCCCCTCGTAGAAAAGGACATCCCATACCCTTAGAGTAGTCTTCAAAGAAAAAAAACGAGAGAGAGCAATGGAAGTGTTAGTCAATAGTTAGTAACAGAAATTCACAGCATGTTTCTAGAGAGAGAGAGAGAGAGAGAGAGAGAGATTTGGTTTAACCTCAGAAGGCAAGCTCTTAGAAAAGAGGCATAGAAACCACTCGGTGGCCACAAGGGAGACATCAAATTCCATTGCTTCCAAATGCGCCGCTATCCTGCATTTGCTTCCGATTTTAAAAGATAGAAAGTAAAACATAAGACACTTCAGGAAAGTCAGTGAAAGGAAGGTACCTCGGGCACTTTTTATCTAGGAACTCCTTGAAAACTCTTTGTTCAACATGGCATCCTGATAAATTATTTGTATAGCAGTCATTAACCAACACATTTTCCAAGAGGACTGCAAGCATCCAAAATGCATCCTCCTCTGTTTTCATCACAAGCAGTAACAATGCTGCAACATAATTTAAGCCCTGTACCAAGAAGGTTGAGCCGTTCCAGGTAAGTAAACATCCACAGCCAAAAGTGAAATAATTCATATGAAAATACAGACAAAGACAGACCAACTTTGGTGCTTCAAAATAATTATCTAGAAAAAATACTTGACATAAGATCTTCTCTGAAGCAACTAAGATAAGTGGAGATGAACCTTCAAGTATTTTACAACACAGCAGCAAAAACTCATACTTGAGCGGGGCATAAAACAGGAGTTGGTGAGGTAAGGAGTTGAGATGGCTGGGGAAACAACAAAAAGGTACTGCTGTAACAATAAGTATTTCGGAAACCACTCGAGTATATGCAAGTTTTTGTTATTTCTTTGATGAGGATGTTCTCTTTTAGAAGAGGTGTGGCTTCTAGATGGATCCAGTGTGAACAATGTAAAACATGTAGTTAACAATTGGACTTAAACAGGAAGAGTAACTGTAAAACACAAGAACGGTGCCGTGATGATAAACAATCGAAGGGTTGAATTTAATCTGAACAAAAACAATAATATGATTGACGAGTAACAGAAGTAGAATCTTGAACATGCTGCAGCTCGGAACATTTAGGCTCATCGTAATCACACAGCTTTAAGAATGCCTCAAGTGTATTTTGAAAGTTTTAGGAGAACCACCTGACAGTATCCAACATCAGAATCACGGAACGAATACCCAACAAGGACGCGTCGGAGAGCAGCATGACCCTCTGGGGTGTCCAACCATGGATGACCGGGGAAGGTCCGGGGCAGGTCCTGCACATACATCAATGAGTGGATTGCAGAAAGTGGAAGAAATTCAATGGCAACACAGATACGACCTATATAAGCTATAACCCTTAGCACTAGAGCAAAAAGTAACCTACTTCCCAACACTTTCCCAATGGATTTGTATAAGCAGAGACACAAATCCTGCAAACTTGAACATCACATTCCCAAACATCATCCATAAAAGTTTACTACTTTCTAGCATAGCTAATATTTTCCTAAATTCGCAGGCGCAGCCACTGCAACATTGGCTAAAGCGGATGTGCTCCCCCTATGCACTCAAGCTCAAATTCCCCTCCCCGCAGTTTAGATTAGAATATCACTACTCACTAGTATCAAAAATATTTTACTAAATTGATCCTGAAATTACTTATACTCTCAAAAGGGAAGCTTAACCGAAGAAAATCATACCAATATAAAATCAAATTCCAAAATTTTCCAGAACCCACTATAGCAAAATCCAAAAGAGGGGGCAAATTAAGAAACTCACATGATCAATCTGCCTGGTGGCAGGGGTGACCTTGCCCTCAGTGGCCTTGATCAGGTCATCGTAATAGCTCTCCGGCGCGGTGGACTTCTTCTTGGCCGCCCCGGACAGCGAAAACCACACCTTGGGGCGGAGCACCGGCGGAATCCCCTTCCTAATCAGCTTCTTCAGAGTGATGGCATTGGCCAAAGCTGAAAACTTTAGGGAGGACTTCAAGTTCCCTTCAGAAATGGAAGTCTGCAGGTACCAATTTGCACCTTTGTTTGCCTCCAACGACCACCATACCCTCCCCTGCTGCCTCACCTTCTCCCTTACCTCATTCAACACATTCACATCGTCCACATTCCCTTCCACTGTAAACCCATAAAGGTCCTGGAATTTTACTGTCAGATTCGCCCTCCTGGCATGGATACTGGGCCTCAGGATTTGTATCTGGGATTGGAATTCCAGGGACAGGTCTCTCTTGCTCTGAGTCCCAAACATCTCTTCAGGTATGGGATTCCAGAGGGTCAGATCAAGATAAGGAGAGAGAAAGAGGAGAGAGAGAGAGAGAGAGAGAGAGAGGATTTGTCAATCAAAGAAAAAACCCACCAGCTACAAATCCATGGTATTGGTCTTCTTTTGCAGTCAGAGAAGAAAAAGCTTTGAAATTTGAACAATTTGTTTGAATTCTACAACTAGGTTGCTGACAGATTTGATGAAAGATGAGTTAGGACAAAAAATCATCACCCGAAAAACCTAGCATTTGTAATGGCCATCAAAGTCTCTTTTCTGCCATTAATATATCAACTCTACCCAAAAATATTCAAAGATAAAAAATAAAAAAATGAAAAGAATTTTTCCTTTTATGTGGGCTTATTTTTGTAGAAAAATAAATATTTTCAGACAAAAAAAAAACCCCAGAGAAAAGGAATGGTGGAAAAGAAGAAGAAAAAAAAAAAAAAAAAACAGGAGATCTTTCCTGCAATGTGAAATGCAAATTACAAAAGGGAAAAATAAGGAAAGAAAGTGGTAGCTGAGATAGGGTTTGATTGTAGAAGACAAGAATATTCTAATTTAGGGTTGAAAATTTATTTGTGGAATTGGATGATTAAGAAGTGGTTTTACCAGGAAAGTCCGAATTTTTAGGGATAAATAAGAGAAAATTTGAGCAATTGTCCCTGCACTTTGGAAGAATTGGAGTTTTAGTCCTTGAACTAAAAATCTATGAATATTGATACCTAACTTGTTATAATCTAAAGTAATAGTCATTGTTTCTAACTCTTTTAGAACTTCTAATCAAAATAAATAGTTTAAAATGACAAGAATAGATAGAGATTTTAAAGGAGTTAACCAAATGGATCATTGCTCCACATTATTACAATTTAGGATCAATAATCTCGAATTTTAATTCGATGACCAAAGCTTTAAGAGAGCGTTGCTCAAATTATCTTAGTAATTAAAGCTACCATAATAAAAATGGATGGTATGAACTATGAAGTGGGAAAGAAAATAGTGTAGGAGGAAGGGGTCAATTTGTAAAATAAGTTAGTGTTGTGGGTTTTTTGTTTAAATTTGCTTCTACAAATATATATTTTTTGGACTTTTTTGGAGACGGTTGACACTGAAAGGAGACAGACATTCACGATTTTCACACCCACTGTATACAGAGTTTCTCTTTCCTTTCTTTCTGTTTTTGGCTTCTTTTGTTTTATTTGTTATTTTTGTTACTTCATTTGTTTAGATAATTTTAGATAAAAAAATAAAATTTGAAAATAATAGGGAAACTTAGAGATGATTTGCTTTCAATCCATGAACATATGAGTTTTATCTTAAAATATCGGTATCTGTAGAAATATCAATGGATATATCGAAATCAGTTGACTTTGATGAAAATGATGAAAGTTTTCTCAAAAAACGTAGAAGTTTAAAATATAAGTCATATAGCAATTTGTTAATATTAACAGATATGTTAGAAATATCAATGAAATTTGTCGGATTTAACCAAAACTTAAGAATTTCTTCGATAGAAGATGAAGTCTTTCCATTATAATTCTATGAATTTTTTCAATTTTTTTCCTCAATATATTGACCGCACCAAAATTTTTTTAAACATTGGTTTTTCTCAATTCAAGGAGGTGGTGTTTTGATTTGTTCCACGGTGCTGTAATGAGGCTTGGTGGTGCTTTCATTTCTAACGGTGTTGTAAGGAAGGTGCTCCGACAGTTCACTATAGATTTTTTTTTTTTTGAACAAACGATATTAGCTACATTAAAGAAGAAGAGTGGGTTTAACCTAACAATGAGCTAGCAATAATATGGTTCAAATTTGCCTTTAGCGAGAATCGAATATAAAACATTTCACTTATATGTGAAGATGAATATCTATACCGTAATGCTAAGTGGCGTCTGTAAATATTTAAATACCTACCACTTGCATATGTTTTTTTTTTTTTCAAATGATAAGATATTTATAATCATATTTAATATTGAAGTCAAAGAGTAAATATATAATTTTTCCACACGAATAATGGTATAATTTAAAATAAATTTCTTTAAATTAAAAATAATAAGATTTAAAACTTAAATACAGAAAGAATAACACACTGCTCTCTCGGTCTTATAATGCTCAGTCCCCTCAATATTTGCTTTGAAAAAAAGGAATATAATATCCTTAGAGGGATTTAATTGTAATTAAACCAGATTGAGTTCCAACCCAAAATTAGAGGACAAACCACAGTTTGACAGAAACGTAAAGCGTGTTTTAGTTTTGAAAATAGGAAGGGGGAGGCAATAATTAAACGAAAGACGAAGGGCATTTCTGCAGTGAAATTTAACAGTATAGGGCCCGCGAAATAATTACCAGAAATGCTATTGAGCTGGAGTTGCGTGGGGCCTAGTTTGCGGGACCACAACCTCTAAGCGCGCCAAAAAGGATGGCTGGAATCACGTGCGAGTACCTCACATTCTTGCTTCTGACCATCAGATCGTGTCCGAAGATGTACAACGCCACGTGGGTAGACTGGCAGTCGTACGTTATGGTTGTGGACCTGTGGTACGAAGCTTACACACGTGTGCTGATGCGGGTTCACGGTATTCAAGATGCGACCGGTGCAGTGTAGTACTGCTCTCTGGAGCCCTGGGGCCCCTAACTAGTGCCTCGTAGGAGGACATGCGGACGCGTTTGGTTCGGTGCTGGGCCGGCCTCCATTGTTACGAATACAAGAAGGTGGGCCGGTTTTTGGGCGGGTCCCACTGGCGGTGGAGCGTGACTCTCTGCAAAATACAGTTTATTTGGTTGCATCCGGAAAACGGACGTGGTAGAATTCTCTTTCTTGTTTAATCTTTCTGAACAGTTGGGATTAAATTACATTAATTATTTTTTAATTATTTTGTTTTGAATCTTTTTATAAAAAATGAAGACAAACAAGAAAGTGTGAGAATAAAAGAGAAGAAAATCTTACACTGAAATGGACAATGAAACTTAAATAAAGTGTAGTTACGTTGCATTTCTAAATCATTAGAAACAAATATGTTTGATTATCTCAGGTTTAATGTCCTCAAGCATTGTATTCATCCCTTTACATTATTTTGTAAGTTTAGCGTTTGTTTCGTGTCTAGAATTAGATTAAATAACTCAATATATTTAAAGTTGAAATTATGATTAAAAAATGACGTTAAACTTGAAGCTAAAAGATGGAGTATTCAATTAGCAGAAGTAAGTTTACAACAAAGAACATTAATTTATGCATTGACTTTGGGTCCTCCATATTTTTAGCTTTGACCACATTTTGTCTTTAGAAATAAGAAGTCTTAAATTCGATATTTGCTAAAGATGAATTTACACCGTATTATCGCTAACTTATTATGAAGCTTTTTTCACTCTCACACCCCTTAGTGTAGATAATATCGTTTATTCAAAAGAAAAAATGTCAACTCAAAACCCTAAATTCCAAAAATGAAAAGGGAGTTAATGTCAAGGGGCATGCAAAATTAAGTTTGGCCAAATACTTTTTCCATTTGAAGAAAAATTTTATAATTTCAAATGATTGAAACTGGTGACATCAAAGTATGTAGGTTTTTCAGAGAGACCCCTATATATATGAAATATAGTTTGATCATTGTTTGATCATTTATAGGTTGTTATCGGCTGCCTTCAACTGAAATTATGAAAATTTGCAATGAAATTGGTGTACGAACTCATTCAAATTAATCGGAATTAGAAAAGAATTAAAAAAAAAAATCAAAAGTTTGAATTCTGCAATGAATTCCAACCAAATTTATGTAATGAATCATTAAATATCGTCAATATTCATTGATTTTCTTATATATCACCTATATATGGTTAAGTTTGCATTTCAACCATTTTTCATATCGATCTTTGATTTTTCAGATATTTCAACAAAAATATCGATTATTTCATGTATGTTTTAAACACTAATCGGGAGAGGGACACGTACACAAGAAGATCAATTATTTTTGGGTACAATTCAATACTGATATGGCCTATGGGGTCCTTTTGTGCTCAATAAAAATCATCGTCTTGGATCATGCATTACACGTGCTATCACTTCTTTCCTTTACTACAAAGACAAGATCATGTCAGTTCCCCAAAAAAAAAAAAAAAAAAAAAAAAAAGAGAGGAGGGGAGGGGGGGGGGGAATTTCGTGCAGGACATAATTTATCGGATACCTCCATACAACTACTACTCAATCACATGCAGCGAGGTTTTTTATGATGTAGGGCACAACAGTACAAGGTCATGATCTCTCCATAAAAAACCTTTCTTGCCCCGTTGCATGAAACGAATATATATATATTGATTTTATAGTTTTTATTATGAGTTACTCACATAATATAGTAAATTTGAAATCGATGATAATTTCATGTAAATCCTGAACCTAAAAAGCATTTAGCATCGACATCACATCATAAACAACAGTACTAGGGTTTGCTTTCTTGATTCTTATGGTCGCATTATACAAATTTTAATTTTAGCGTGCAAGTGTATATTCCACCGTCCCAAATTGTTGTAAGCAAAGCAAATTGTGAAACATTTGCATTTGGCAGAAAGATTTTCAAAGCAAATATGACAAATTTTCTTACTCTTCTTTTTGACGGTTCTTCCGTTGGTCTTTGCAGCTTGCTTTCCTTGCAGACAAAGATTGCACGCAAACTTCATCATACACATTTCTGCCTTTTTTTCTTTTGACTATTTTGTTAATTATTTTTTACATAAGACATGATTTGGACTTTAATCTACCAAAAGGTGTTAATTGTTAAAGAAACACCAATAATTGTTAATTCTCCACAGAGAGTTGTGAAAATTTTCATAAAAAAGGGAAAAGATTTTACAGTTTTTTTTTTTTTTTTTTGGGAAGCCAAACAAATTCACTGATCTCCAATCTTTTCCTGGATTTGGATCCTCTCCTGAGCCTAAGGAGAGGATCCTCTCCTGAGCCTAAGGAGAGGATCCTCTTGATGAAGACATGTGGACCATTAGATTTTTATCTAACGGCTACAAACAAGAAAATTATTTTAAAGTTATAATAATTATAGTCATTGAATAAAAATCTAACGGTCCACGTGTCTTGATCAGGAAGATCCTCTCCTTAGGCTGACGAGAGGATCCAAATCCTCTTTTCCTGACCGGGCAAATGGCAATTAAGTTAGGAGCATCAGAACGTGACAAAGTGTTACATGTAGTTAGGAGCATCCGAAACATTATTCACTTTAAAATATAAATCAAAATGGCTATCAGGACACCAGCAAGAACAAAGCCGATTTATTTTTAAAGCTACGTGAGCCCACGACCTTACCCCATATAATTTTATGGCCATTATGTACACTTTAAATAGGTTTGTTTTGTTGCTGCTGTACGTGCCCTATCCAAATCAAACAAATTGATTTCCCTTTTAAGCTTATGGTTCATTAGATCGAT